ACTGTTTTAATACATACGTTAGTCAAGTAAGGGGGCTCTCTATGATCAAAGGCATACACGTCACATAGCTAAAGTTGGGTTTTGTGGGATTAATGGCCGCCGTCGCCGCTTGATTACACCTTTCACTTTTTTGCATTCAAATATTTTCATGTAATTCTAAAATTATGTAATTTTTAAAATACCTCTAATTTTCTGTAATATATCAAGATATACTATATGATGTTCCACCTACTTCGGTATACTATGCATATACCAAGGTAACTTGTACCATGGTATAAAGAAATGCTATCTAGGAACGAGAAACATCGACCTTTCACCATATCCCCCCGGCCGTTTACACCGCCCGACCACCTAGGACAGGGTAAACCTACATCATGTGGGTGGGTGAGGGGACTATGCCTTTCACCATATCCCCCTCCCGGTTGTTTACACCGCCCGTCCACCTAGGACAGGGTAAACCCACATCATGTGGGTGGGGGGACTAGGCCTTTCACCATATACCAACAGCCGTTTACACCGCCCGTATACCTATGGCAGGGTAAACCACAACATGTGGGTTAGGGGGGGTCCCAGCTCAGACTTTATAGAACTACTATCATGGCACTTTAATTGCTAACGATGAAAACGGCTGAATTACAATTGCGTTGAGTCCAAGAACACAGACGACTTTACCCTAATTATAACAAAGGGACATTAAAAAAACTATATTACGCAACATATTTTGAAATAAAATTATACTAAGAATTATTTTATCTGTAACAATGAAACGAACTGTCAAATAATAAATAAGTTAATAACCATTTGTATAGAAAACTTCATTTTAAACAATTTTTATATGAAATATTAAGCTTTATCATAAAATGCTCGCCAGATAAGACAAAATATTTGTAAATGGGATATTAAAACAGTTAATCAGCAGTTTACCCCTACATAGAAGGGGAGGTGATGATGAAACTCATCATAAGGTGATCATTATTATGATATTTATTAGTAAATAAATAAATATGTACAATATTTCATAAGAATTGAGTTATTTTTTAATTATAGAGAAAATATTTAAAAATCGATAGTTTAAATTAATTATTATGATATTAAGTTACATTATTACGTTTGTTAATAGATATTTTTTTTTTTTTTTGTTAATGTGTAAACGTTATTGGATATAACATATGTATACATATTGAGTATACACATACTCTATTACATATATTTGTATAAAAATATTTAGAAATCGTGACTTTAAATTTAATTATTATGATATTAAAGTGAAATCACTTAAGTGGTGAACGAAAAGGCTAGTTTACAGAGATATGTGATCTGTAATTTGCCGACCCTCGATGAAAATATGTGATTTTTCCGCATAAATGAGTATTTTCACATAAAAGACTGATTATTACTTGAGTAAAATTAATAGTGTTGTATCACTTAAAGTTTTAAAAAATGTTTTCTCGTGACAAGTGTGAAAAAGTGTACGTTGTCAAAAAACTGTTTTTAACTGCTGCATAGGAAAATACATGACGGTATACGATTTAAGTGTTATTTATGCTCATCTACTACTTTTTCGGACAAATGCGGACTTGTACAGTTATCATGTATTGTATACCCTGGTATATTCATAGTATACCGAAGTAGATGGAACATCATATAGTATATCTTGATATATTATAGAAAATTGGAGCTATTTTAAAAATTACATAATTTTAGAATTATTTGAAAATATTTGAATGCAGAAAAGTGAAAGGAGTAATCAAGCGGCGACAGCGGCTATTAATCAAACGAAACCCAACTATAGCTATGTGGATGTGTAGGCCTTTGGTCATAGAGAGCCCTCTTACTTGAATAATTAAAACAGTTAATCAGCAGTTTACCCCTACATAGAAGAGGAGGTGATGATGAAACTCATCATAAGGTGATCATTATTATGATATTAAAGTAAATAAATAAATATGTATAATATTATACTACCAAGGCACATGCCTTGTAATATAAGAAAAAGTATTTTCATACATGAAAATCATATATGGGAATTTACATTTTTATAAAGTGTTTATGTTAAGAAATTTACTATAATAATAATTCTTAAATAATGTGAATATTAAGAAAATATTGTTATACTACCTGTTACTATTAATAATGTAATCAAGTTTTAAAAAAAGTTTAACTTTGACGGGACTCATAGAAAGTATTAATTTTACTATGATGTGTTTATTGCTTATTTGCCTAAAAATTCATATATAATTACTGAATAATGAATGTGACATGTATCATTGTATATAACGTTATACATGTGAGAGGGTGAAGNTCTAGTGTTATGCATGTGACAGGATGAAGTACAAGAACAGGTATAGATCTTTAAACATCGTTTTTTCATACACATATTCTATTTTAAATCATGAAATTTAACATTTTTTACATGTGATAATGAATACTGTACAAATATGTGCGGTACAAATCCACCATACAAATAACT